CCTTGCCCTTAACTCCGCCCCTAAACACACCCTCCTAAATAATCTTAGGATAATTCTTATCTTATGATAGTTGCCGCTTGTAAACGGCAGATTAGGGATTCCTGCTGCAGAAAAGCGCAAGTTCCTGATGCAGGAATCCCTAAATCACACCTGAAATATAATGTAGGTGTGAATGGGGCCCAATATACACATACACTAAAACACAATAATACACTTCTCAACATTACACCACCACCCCAACCCCCCCACAAAAAATAATACACTCCCCCCGTTATAAGCCCCCCCCCAATAAATGTGACTTGATTTTTACAAATGTAAATGAATACTCTATTTTCGATCTCCCCAACAGTCCTGGCCCTCTTCATTGCTTGGCCAGCATTGTCTACTGTAAGCTCATAGGCTGTGCTATGCCTTCTGTATGGTACTGCTATCCTTAAGGCTAACAAGTGCAGCACAATGTCGGCATTGTATATGTGGCATAGGAAAGTAAACAGACCAGGCTGTTTCCATGTAGCACAGTTGCAGTGAGTTTCAGATTAAGGTGGACGTTTACTGCCCAGTTTTACTATTGCTTGACATTTCTGTGACTATCTATTGGCACTAGAGTGGGATTCACATACGCTGTATGCATGTACTACCTACACTAATCACAGATATTCACCTCTCGAGTGCTGCCAGGTAGCCTTGTAAAATGGTGACCTTCCATTGGCCACCATTGGTCACTTTCTAAAATGGTGACCTTCGATTGGCCACTTTCTAAAATGGTGACCTTCCATTGGTCACCATTTGCATAAGCATGCTGACATTTCCCTGCCATCTGACAGTGTGCAGACACCAACTTTCATATGATGGCTATTTGTTCAAGTACATTGATGCCACCACCTCTCAAGCGACAATAACAGATCCACTGATGGGTCACTTAGGGTCATGGCATTACACTGAAGGGTGTGAGCAGGTGCTATTCATATTCTCTACTATCTGGATGTGATGACATAGCTGGAAGAACTTTAACCAGCACTGGGTGCACGAATGTTTAAGCTGTAGGTTGCAGCAACACCTGCATGTCCTTTACCCCTCTCAATGTTTTGGTTTGGCATGGAACTGCAGACGGTTTTACTTGGTAGGTTATACACAAACAGAGAGCTTCACAGTGTCTCAGGGCAGGTAGCTGTGACAGCAGTGCATCATTTAGTAAGGCAATTATACACATTTCTTTTCAAATGGGTGTTATCAACAGTTTAATGAACCTTTGCACCTCTACATTGTAATTATAGGCAATTTCTGGATTCCAGGAAGGCAAGTTCAGACGTCACAGTGTCCTAAACATCTAAAACTGTCACCTCTCCCTAGTGCGTCAACAGGTGACTCTTTCAAGGCCAGAGACTCTGCATTTCCTTATAGGTCTCAAGCTATACTCTGTCTAAAAGATGTGCTTTGTACTTATTTTTCAACCTAGTTATCATACTGTTTTTTTTAAATGTAGAATGACAGAAGAAACAAAACTGATGTACACTATGGGGCTTTCAAATACAAAAACTGCTATAACTACCACATTATAGCTGGTCACTTATTAAATAAATGGAGATACAAGAATATATGGGATGGATTATCCACAAGAGAAAAATGGTATTGTTATCCAGATCATTCCCTTTCCCCGTCCAGCAATAGCAGAGGTTCTAAAACTACAAAAGTAATTCCATCAATTAAAAGAGAACTATGGACCAACCTTTTTTTGCCATAGTTCTCTTTAGGGTCACAGGAGGACATATTCTGCATCTCTAGAGCCTCTCAGAGCCAGCTGTGCCTGCCTCCTCCCCTGTTCACTCCTCCAGTCAGCGCTGGAGGAACAGAGAGGGAAGGGGGAGGGGAGATCGGGAACTGAGTGATTGGTGGTATGTGATCGCTCAGTTCCTAATCAATAGAGCAGGCCTGTGACAACTTCAGTGTCACATGTCGGCTCTAATTATGGGGATGAGTGTATTTCACTCCCCCCCTAATTCTCCTTTAATTACCGAACTATAAGAACTCATTGTACAGTTGTAATGTTGAGAGTTTTTGACAATTCTGAGACATAACTGAAGATTAGCTGCTCTATGAAATCCTTTACAGTCAGGATGTCCCAACCAATCAATTTTGTACCACCCCAGTGTTTGCTAAATTACGGGTAACAGGATAAAATAATTTGAAGTTACATATAAATTATAATTATATAATATA